TTTGTGTGTGTCTATATATATATATATATATATATATATATATATATATATATATATATATATATAATTTTATATTTTGTCTAAAGTTTCAAACTCTTTATTAATTAAAACATTTTTAAAACTCCATTAAAAAATGTATTTGTCTGACTATTATTTCATATCTTTAAAGGGTTAAATCTTATTTTGTGTTCCGCAGAAGAAAGACATACAAGTTTGAAACGACATAGGGTTGAGTAAATTGACAAAATGTTCATTTTGGATCATCTTTCTCTAATGCTGTCATAGTAAATGCTCTTAAACTGCAATAGTATCGGGGAGTCAATAAACCGGCTAGACTGCTAGCTAGCTCAAATGTAAATATACTTCATTGTATCTTCCTTGTAGTTTTCATGGGTTCGGTTTATTTATATATAGACAGTAAAGCACTTGTAATTGTTAGCTCTATGTTTGAAGCAGAAATCACAATTTTTACATCAGTCTGGTAAAAGGTGCTGGTCCAATATTCATTTTTCTCACAGTAAAGAGACGAATCATTTGTGCAAAAAAAAGAGAAGAAGTAATTTACAAACCCAAAGGCGTTTCTTTTTTCCTTTTTTTAATGCAAACACGAAAGCAAAGAAGAAAAAACGCCTTCTCCCGAGTAAACATGGTCAGATATTGTGTAGTGTTTTAACTTGAGTGGATTGTTGGACTGTTGTCCATAATTCCACTCGTCAGCTCCATATGTATAACAAAAGTACCAGGAACAAAAACCATCTGTAATGGTGTCGCTGTTCTTGGAACTCGATGTAAAAGAGCGGCCGCACAGAGCCACAGCGACGGAGAAGCTGTTGAGGAAACACAACCAGATGAAGTTCAGCTCCATCCGGAGCAGCGGCGAGACGATCATCAGAACGAGAAACGAGGCCCACGTGCTGAGGAACGTACACATAGCCCGCCTTAAACAAACCACACAGCTTTGTTGAGCGAAATGCAGAAACACCTGCACCCTCCATTTCTCTAGCGGCGTTCAGCTCCATCCGGAGCAGCGGCGAGACGATCATCAGAACGAGAAACGAGGCCCACGTGCTGAGGAACGTACAAACAAACCACACAGCTTTGTTGAGCGAAATGCAGAAACACCTGCACCCTCCATTTCTCTAGCGGAGCGTACGAGTAAAGAATGAAGCCGGTGACTGCCAGCAGCAACGCGGCGAGAACCTGAGAACTCTGAGGGCTACTAAACAGCTCGCACTGGTGCGTCTCATCATCTCCTAATAACAGAACAACATCAGGCTCCGAGAAAACGTACAACGCTGCTAGAATCCAAAGGAGGCACACTCCAGCACAGTAAGTCAGTTTTTGTTTCCAGGATGTGTGTATTGAGCTTGATGATAGCTTCCAGAAGTTATCTAGTCCTACAAGGAGGAAGACTGGCCAGTGGAGCACGGCGTAGATAAAACAAGTAATCTGAGCCAGCAGGCATATGCAATACCTGGTCAAGTGCCAGCCTGAGATGTTGAAGTCTTCCAGATAGAAAATAGCCATGAGGACAAAACTCAAGAGACTGTCAATCAGTGCCAATGAAATGCAGAAGAATCCTGAGAAACTCCTGATCACATAGTGTCGCTGCACCACGACCACCAGCCAGTTCAGCAAACTCTTGAGCCACAGAACCAGCAGAAGCGAAGGGATTGATGTTTCCATGGTAAGGCATAATCCAAGGCAGAAATCACAACAATCAAAAGACCAGTCTTTCTTGTAGCTGGCCAGCAGTTCCTCATTGAAACAGTTCAGGTCTGCTGTCAGTAGACACACCCTACTGAGATTAAGGCCAGCCCTGCACATTTAATGAATAGCCCACTTTCACTGGGAGTTGAGCATGCATGTGCATTATTTAAATGTTTCCATGTACATGTATTTAAATGTAGGTGTGGTTTTACATTTCTTTGTAAATTCGTAAGTTCATTACTCATTCAGCAACATTCAGCAAAAAAAAGTTTTGAAATGTTACAAAATCGCTACTTCATTGGAACGGTACAAAACTCGATGACTTTTATGGCAGTCACTATGTGACCACACAAAAAAAATTATAATACAAAATCGTGGACTTGATTCGAAAAAGCATCATACTTGTGTTGTTTGCTGTCAAAAATGACTGCCAGTGGAAATGAATGGGAAAATACGCAAAAATACAGATAATTTTTTGTGTACAATCTACAAATTCACAATGCAGAAAAAAGTGCAAGCAATGAAGGGGTGACAAAATATCAAGAGTGCAAAACAGACCCCCCCCCCCCCCCCCAACCCAACTAGAAAAATGCGGGCAGCGTGAACTAGTGTGACTGTAACACAAAGCATGTTTTTGCAAATATGTGAAATAAAATCAATAATTTAGCCACAATGGAGTAAAAAAAAAAAAGGTACACCAAGGAAGGGGTGACGTGACAAAACATCAAGAGTATAAAACGGACACACACACTCACTTACACAGTCAAACACACACACACAAATGAACTGGTCTGGCTGTTACAATATGGCAAAATTGAGCCAGAAGACTCAAATAAGAGGTTGAAATCAGATTGATTAAGTAATAAAGTATTCCTGTTCATATTTGTTACATTTTTGTTGATCTCTGATGTTGTGTAAAAAAAAAAGGTACACCAAGGAAGGGGTGACGTGACAAAACATCAAGAGTATAAAACGGACACACACACTCACTTACACAGTCAAACACACACACACACACACAAATGAACTGGTCTGGCTGTTACAATATGGCAAAATTGAGCCAGAAGACTCAAATAAGAGGTTGAAATCAGATTGATTAAGTAATAAAGTATTCCTGTTCATATTTGTTACATTTTTGTTGATCTCTGATGTTGTGTAATAAAATTTATTTCTTTGTGTTCTGCTTTGATTGTAGTAAAAGTAATGCAAAAACTGACATAAAAAAATCTAAACGTTTACAAAAAGTTGTCTTTGAGAGTGTCTAAATATAAATCCAAATACCCAACTTAAAAAAAAATGTCTACAAACAACAAGAGAATTTATAAGCCTTTTATATAGAGCTCTATAGGAATCTACACTGTGTTCCAAATTATTATGCAAGTGACATTATTTGGTACAATAAAGAGTCAGATTTTTGTTTGTTTAGATTTTTTTGTTTGGTCTTAGGTAAATCGAAACCCTACTTAAAGAGGTTGGTCCACATGTTCTCCTTGCTCTCCGTGGCAGCTCTCACGGCAAGTCACAGTTCTCATTTAATATGGCGAGGAAGAAAGATCTTTCTGAAGATGAAAAATATGAAACAATGCAATGTCTTGCAAAAGACATCTAAACAAACTATATTTTGCAAGAAGCAAATAGAAATATTTTACTGTCAAAAGATTTGTGAGTGACTTGGAGCACAGAAGATCTTGGTCAGATAAAGATTTATTAAGGAAAGTTTCTGTCAAACAAATGAACTGGGTTGTAATGCCAGCTGTAAAAAAGCCACTGCTGAGCAGCAGACAGGTGTTTGAAGCTACTGGAGTCTCAAGATCCTCTCCATGCAGACTGGCAGTTGTGTGTAAAGCTGCGTTTCAGTCACTGCTAACCAAACCTCACAAAGAGAAACCTGCACAGTGGCAGTAATAGAAAAATATTAGATTTTTTTGGTATTATTTTCAACTGGAAATAATGATCATAATTATTGCATAAATATTAAATAGTACCATGAAATTCTCTCAAAATACAAAATAAAAAATATTGCTGAACAAAAATATATTACATTGATTTCACTGAAAAAAAAAAGAAGTTACATTTCAGGTGTCCAGTCACTTTTGACCCAATCTTTCATTTTTATTTTATTTTTTTTACATTTATGACTGATAATGTAAGCAAAGAGTAATAAACATGAACCATTTCAATATTTATTATGTGAAAATTATTTATATCCATTAAAAAATATATACAAAAACTATTTGTTGCACCATTGTCTAAAATAGTTTTTTTTCTTTCTAATGCTTCTCTAAAGTAGTCAGTCATTTTATGCCAAAATTCTTAAGGAAAAAGAAAACAATTCCCGCACACTGTCAATTAGTGCAAAAGTATCAAAAAGGTTTAATAACAACATTTTGGTCGCATGACCTTCATCAGGTCTGTGTGCGGTGTGCGGAGATTGATTGTTAAATGCCAAAATTCTTAAAATGTTCAAGATTTTCAAGAAAAGCCCAACAGAAATTCTCTTGTAATGCATGTGTCCACTGTTGGACATTTGTAAGCAGACAAAAAAAACTAAACAAAAAAAAACCTAGAATGTGAAACGTGTTAAATGGAGACATAATATGCCCCTCTTTACAATATGTAATATAAGTCTCTGGTGTCCCCAGAATATGTCTGTGAAGTTTCAGCTCAAAATACCCCACAGATCATTTATTATATCATTTTGAAAATGCCTATTTTGAGTGGAAGCAGAAACACGCTGTTTTTCGTGCCTGTCTCTTTAAATGCAAATGAGCTGCTGCTCCTCGCCCCCTTTTCCAGAATAGCTTGTACCTGCTAAAAAACATCTGTTTTGTTTCTGATTATCATGTTTATCGCGCTGAAATCATGCATTTTAAATCATATGAGTTTAAACATCAGATATAAGGTTTTCTGAGCGCACACATCCGAAGCACACGGACAGAAAGCTGCTGTCACAACATGCGAGTACTAAACTAAGTTCTCATTCACACACGAGTTTATGTTAAAAACACACGAGTTACAAAAAGAGAAAGAGCAAGCGCAAATCCTGGAAGTGGCGCTGCAAAAACAGTCGGTTATGTCTGTGAAGGTAAACAGCGGGGAAATTGTATGTTTATTTTAGATCTGTGTGGCAGCAGCAATATGCAGTAAATAAATCCACTGCTCTCTTGTCTCCTCTGAGGCTGGGACTCTAAACAGTGTTCTGTGCTCGTCTGTGCAGCCAAAGACAGAACAGGTAGCATGTTTTGCTCAAACTTTCACCATGGCATTAGAGCTGGTACACAGTTGTCGCTTGCGAAATCAAAATGACTGAGCCATGGGTGGAAACGTACAGATTAAGGGGCGGTAATATTATAATGAGATCCCTTTGCGACGTCACTAGGGGAGCGAAATCATATGAGCTCGTTTTTTCAGAGGCTTGCAGAAAAAGGCTTACCAAAACTAAGTGACTGGGTTAATCTTTCTCACGTTTCCTTGGTTAGTAGATGCAACGGAGACCTGATTATAGCACTTAAAACCTGGAAAAGTCCGATTTTCATGATATATCACCTTTAAGAGAGTTTACAAGTCCACATTGCCTCTTCATAACGTTCAGCTAAGGTTAAAAGAGTTTGTGCAAAAAGGAACTTGACTTTAAAAGGGTGTGTTTACAGCTAAAGCTATGGATCAGTAATTGGCTCTAAAGAAATTTAATCTGGGTGTTGCTAAAACAGAGTGTTTTCAATGTTCAGAAGAGACAGGGACATGTCTGCATAAGCAGGCACATTAAGTTGGTTCCACTCCTCTCTGAGAAAGATGTGGACAAATATTTTCTAATGGTAAAAAACCTGACCGTGTCACGTCTGATTGCTCCGAACTTAAAAAGCAGCAGAATACAAAGACACTGGACATAATTACAGGGTGCACTAGTCTGGGTATGCTCCCTTATTAATGGCTCTGTTCCCATCATTAATCTAGGGTGTTGTATATGGTTGTCCATTGAATCCTAGACAGGTAATAGAGTGTTAAAAGGTCACTATTTGACCTGCCGGAGGTCGTTTAAAGTTAACAGGTAATAAAACTTTAAACTTTCAGAACTCAAAACTGGTTTTAAAAATAAATGTTTTTGCAGCTTAGTTCAATTTCTTGGAATTTAAACTGCAAAAACATTTAAACACATGATGGTGAATGTGATTTTACCAAGTAAAACGTTTCTTTTTATCAAGTAGAACATCCAATCAATGTTTTTGGACATGAATATTGTTCCAAGATCAACAAAAGATGTTGATCCAGGATCATACTGGTTAGCACAGCCCAGTTAGCCCTTGCTGTAACTAGACTATATCTACACTGTAACTGATTTTTGTAATTTGAACAGTATTATACTGTAATATGTACAGTAAGATACTGTAAAATGTGTATACAGTATTTTACTGTAAACCGCAAAGGATTATGGAAAAATATACGGTCACTACTGTATTTCCTCACTACTGTAAATCAATTTACAGTAGTGAACTTGCCCGCAAAAAACTGACCAATGGCAAGGGAGTTCTTTTTTGACTGTTTGGTGGAAGTGGCTGTAAAAGGACAAAAGAGAAATGCTCCTTAACTCGACGAAAGGTTTGTATATTATTTCTGTTTTATGCAAAACTGCGATATTTTAAGATGTTTTCACTTGTTAACAGCAAACTAACATTGTTCATCGTGTCATTTTTTGTGTCGGGAGTTGGAGCCTTTTTTTCTGACAGACGGCCGGAATGCCGCCAAAAGGCTGATAACATCGACTGCTGAGTAAGTTAATGTCACCTATATTGCTCGAAATAAATCTTAGTTAAACCGAGGAACACGTTTGTACGTTCTGCTGCCCTTTAATGCAAGTTAGCTCCTCTGGTGAGTCATTATTTAACCTTAACAGCGAATTAAGGTGAAATACTGAGGTAAAGTGTGTTAGGCAAACCACTGTTTCAGTGGAGATTTTAAACAGTATTTTCTAGTACTTCTTTCGTTTGTTATTTTCAGATGTCTAGTCTGTATGTAGTCTGCAACGTCGGAGGTGTATTTTGGATCCTCCTCTTGTGAATGCCATAGTATCGATGATAACATCAACTGGTAAGTTAATAATGTAATTTAGCCAAAGTTAACTAACTTAGTTGAACAAAGAGAAGCATAGTAAGTTATCTTCTCTACTCTGCCTCTTTATCGCAAGTAAGGTAATTCTCTTCAAATGCTATTTAAGTCAGAAAGTGTGTACCAATGTCGTATGTAACTTTAGAGGCGGCCCCTAAATTCAGTGACAGACGTAACGTTAACATAAAACAGCGAGCTAACAACCTACTGAGGAAAACTGAGTGAAGAAACACCACTGTTAAGAACATCTTTTGTATTTTATTTTCAAGTGTGTGGTCATGTCGTCTGCATCGGAGGTGTACTGGAGTCTTGTGATTGCCTCGTAGCGGTGCTAACAGCAGGTGAGCTTCCATCAGCTTAACTAACTTTAATGTCACTAAATTAGCCAAATTAGCCTCTAGCTGCTGTTCTCCACTAACTCACTGAACAGGTTGACTTTAAGAGGAACATGCTAGCACAAGTTGAATAAACATGAGCACTGCACCTTTCAAAATCGAAACCCGGGTGCGGGTGTTTTTATATTACTGTATTTCTGAAGGAAACTCGTTTTCGTTTCTTCTTGCTTGTAATGTCTGATACTGCAGCTGTGACTGAGTGGAGCTCTGCTTTGTGTACAGCGTTACCAGGGAAACCTCGATCTCTACCACCCCAACAGCGCCTCCTGCAGGCAGAGAATGAGTCTGCATATATATATATATATATATATATATCTGCTGCCACAAATAAAATGAAAGTCTGTGGGAAACACTGTAATGTTATTTATGCAATTTGTAAGTGCAAATTATAATTAATTATACTTGTCTCTTTAAAAATAAAAAATTAATTACTGGAAATTCATTCACTGTAGAATCAAACCCATTATTTCAACACTTTGCTCTACTGATTGAGAATGCATTGTAAAAAATGGAGCTTTAATAATTTGAATATGATGGATTATCAACTAATTATGTGACTTCCTTGTAGGTGTGTTCAGATGTAGTATATACCGTTTTTTTATTAACGTCAAAGTGCATACAGCACCAACAAGTTTGACAGTCAAGGCAAATTCTGTAAACACTGCTTTGATAAATAATGTTTTTTTTTCTTCTTGTGCTTGCAGGTTCATTCAGACGGTCAACATTTGTGGCACCAAATGCATTGAAAGTCACAGATCAGCTGAAATTTTGGAAAGAGGGTGCAGCCTGAATCCCATCCTGTGTTGTGTATTCTGACTTTTTTTTTTTTTCAAACAAAAAACAAACCACATTTTTCCTTTTTATAAACAGCTTCTTTCTGAAGAACAACGTTTGTGATTTTAAATGTATAGGTAGACATGAGTAAAAAAAAAGTAAAATGAATGTAGCAGCTGTTTATGCATTGGCTTTATGCATTGTTTGCAAACGCAGCATGTTGCTGGAAGACAGATGTGTTAACGGAGCAGCACATAAAAGTGAAATGACTGAAGTGCAACTGCTATTGATATTGAACCCTGATGAAAGAATAAATCATAACAGGTGGCAAACCACACCTGTTTATTCCTTGCTTATTCATACTGGAAATGTATGGTCTATTCTTATGTAATCGTCCCAGTTACACACCTGTGTAAATTAAATTCATCCTGTGACAGAAAACTTAAATAAGAAAAATTAATATCTATTTTATATTTTTGTAATGTCAAGAAACCTTGTACTGTAGTGTGAAACGTGACCATATGTGTACCTAAAATATTAAGCTATCAATTAATTTTAATAACTAGCTACTCGTGATTGATTCCTTTGATATTATTATTATTATTCCAGTTCAGGATTTTCAGCATGTGGAAGAGACTCTTATTATGACTTCGAAGAGACAATGTTAATCATTATATATATATAGATAAGGAGATAACTGAATAAATGTATTAAAACCACACAAAAGGCAAACAATAAGAAAGGAAAATATATACAACAAAAACACAGATAACATTTTCGTTATTTGCTTCTCAGAGATTCTGCGCAGCAGCGCTAGTGTCACGAGCACCCTCGTGACGTCATTGTGGACATCCCATAATATTACTGAGCAGCGAGCATAAGCCGTAAACTGGTACAGAAATAGTGTTGCTGTCAAGGTAACGCCGTCAAGTCTATTAAATTTACCTCTTCAGTTGTGAAAGACTGTAAAGTCCAAAAGGAAAGTTCCGCGTTTTGCTCGTGGTTTGGTAAGCGCTGGTGAAATGTGTTTAACGTTAGCTAACCTTGCGGCTAACTTAACGGAAGTTTTGGTCGAGTAAAATGTTCCTACTGTTCTGTCTTCAGTGCAGTGTTTCATGTCGCTTAATGTGTTCGAGATTAACGTTACTGCTCCTTGACACTCCAAAATCCTTGTTAGTAGCGTGATAGTTTGCATTTGTAGTAGTATAATTAAGTAAGCTGCCTTTGCTTATTGTGCAGCAGGCCAATGCGTTTTACTGGTTGTTCCAGTTTTAGTAGTTTATTACTAAATACAATAAATAAATATATGCGTTTGACAACTAACATGTCCATGGAATTGTTTTTTTTAATTAACATCAAGGTTTTAGTTTACAGTTTAAGTAAGTGACTATGTTTAGGGTACTCATTTTCACCCTTTTTATTAATTTTCAATCACCTGGTTTAATGTAGTCTCTAAATTTGAGATTCTAAATGTTACATGTATTATAATAATACAATTCTGTTAAAAATTGTTGTTAAATAACCGTTAAATGGAGATTTGTATGTCTCAATGCAGGATGTTAACTTCCCTAAAGTATTTCATGTCCGCTACTAAATATTTTAAATGGAGTTTGTCATGCCTCAGTGCAAACCATGTTAACTTCCCTGAAGTATTTCATGTCGGCTACTATATAAGTAAATGTATTAACACGTGACACCAGCTGAATATGTTTGATTTTTCTTTTCACATAAGCTGTTGTTTTGTAATGCATGTCAAATGTCTATTTTGATCAACAAGATCCTATATAAAGCAGGGCTACCTGGAAATATGTGCACCCATGATGAGGGGGCCCGCTTGGGTCTTCTCAACTCATTTTAGAGTTTATTTGCTTTTTTCCCCAATAAGAATTGAAGGCATGGAAGACAAGCCGCCCTCCAGAAAGGTGGAGGAGAGTGGTTCATCTAAGCGGTCACAGAGGCAGCAGGAGCGGCAGGGGAAACTTCCAAGGAGACACAAAGAGGTGAAGAGGTCTCTTCGGAGGCCGGACTGTCCAGAACACCTGTCGGGGGGAAGCGTACATTGGTTGCCTGAGCAGCCCGAATCAGAAGCCTCTGTATCAGTGGAGGACACTGCAGAGAGTTGCCCAAAAAGATGGGATAGATGCAGGTACAAAACACACCATTTGATTTAAACCGGTTGAACTCTAAAGATTGAAAAGTGTAGTGATGTAAGATCCTCTTTGTTGCAGACGAGGGCACTTTCTACATGGACCATATCCTGCTACTCATTTTGGACCCAAAGCTTGTGTTCTTCCCAACCCAACCTCAGTCATGTAAGTAAGTAAGTAAGCAAAGTCAGGCTTACTTTAGGTAAGGGGCCAGGTCACATTCCTCTCTTGTTACTGTTTAAACTTTAAATCAAGCAAAGGTTTGGACAAATGTAGTGATAAGGCCGTGTGCTGAGTTCTGATTGGTTGAGGGTGGTTTGTTGGATGAAGCTGGAGAGCAGCGCAGTCAGGTACTGGTGTGGCTGTCACAAGAATGGTCCTGCTGGAACTTTCTAACGCACCCCATCCAAAAGCCGCCCCCCCAGCTCTATGCCTGTTTTATGCCCCCAGGACAAACCACATGCAGAGGGTAATGTGTGGTTCTCTAGTCCGATATCTGATGTTGTGCTGAACATGTTGTTTAAATGTTATGAGATATGTTAGTAATGCTTTTCTGTATTTCAGATCAAGAATGATGATTAGAGTGAATCTCTAAAAATGACTTATTCTGAATATCATGCAACAATACATTTTAGAAACTTAGTAGAGATATATTGGATTATGTTGGACTTTGTTATTCCTTGGTAGAATAAATAAGATGTGTATATTAAAGATTTATTTAAATATTTACATTTTTGAAGTAATGAATGTGTCAAACGACATCCATTCAATTTTTTTCATTTATTAATACAGAAAACAATCTGATCCTAGAACTATTGAGAAACCAAAAGCAGAAGTCTACATAACTGTGCTTTTCACCATTTGACCATGACTGTAAGTTGCGTAACGAGTGTAGAAACAGGACAAAGTACATGCCATTTTGCTTTGTTCGGAGTGCAGTGGCAACACATACAATGTTTGCCTACTCTGTCGACTTTCCCCGCAGGCACATTCAAGATCCAGCCAGCCAGCGGCTTACCTGGAGCAAACCACCGCTCAACGTCCTGATCATCAGAAAGATCCGAGACGAGACCCTTCTGGAGCCGTTCAAAGAGCTTTGCAGGTTCCTTGTGGAGGTAGGTTACACAAAAGCAACATTAGTAGTTGATTAATAGGCTAGGAAGTTACATTTGCTAATGTTACCCATTAATTTTTTTCGCTGGATCATTCGATTTTTTTATTTTTTAGATTTGGTTACACAAATTTTATCTAAATTATTCCCAACATTAGGAGAAACATCTGATGGTTTATGTGGAGAAGAAAGTTGCGCTAATGTTACCCATTAATTTTTTTCGCTGGATCATTCGATTTTTTTTTTTTTAGATTTGGTTACACAAATTTTATCTAAATTATTCCCAACATTAGGAGAAACATCTGATGGTTTATGTGGAGAAGAAAGTTGTGGACGATGGCTCTCTCATGACGGATGACTCATTTTCAGCCATTCGCAATCAGTTGTGCACATTCAGGGAAGGTACTGAAACCTCATTGTGTTGGATTGGATAGGAGTGAATTATCGGCAGGTTAACCTGTTTTACATAACCATGACACAACATTAACCAATAAAAGATTGGGTGCATTAGGAAAATTAGTGATTCATTGTGTTCACACAGGGTATGACGACATCTCAGATCGCATCGATCTGATTATTTGTTTGGGTGGAGATGGGACTCTTCTGTATGCATCATCTCTTTTCCAGGTATTCTCTCATCTCATCATCTCATTTGTTTGTGCGCAAGAGTCTCCTACTAGGTCAGTCTCAGCTGCTTTCCATTGGATGGTCTCTGTGTGCATCATATAAGTTGAGAGAATTTGGATATGCAAAAGTGAGTTGTTTAGAGATTTATTTAGGAATGAAATGTGGTTTTGTCTCATTTGTTTAAGGGCAGCGTTCCTCCGGTCATGGCGTTCCATCTGGGCTCCTTAGGATTTCTCACACCATTCAAGTTTGAGTCTTTTAAAACAGAGGTGGATAAAGTGTTTGAAGGTAGAGTGATTTAAGAGTTTCTTATATCTACCATCTCAGTTTTAGTTTGAAATGTACTGTGTTTTAGATTTTTATGTTGTTTTAAGTGTTCGTGTCTGACTTCTATAGGTAATGCTGCCATCATCCTGCGCAGTCGTCTGAGGGTTAAGGTGGTGAAAGGCATGTTCCAGAGGAACGAGCAGCTCTTCAGCACTCAGGGGAATGGAATAGCGCCTCATAACCACATAAATAATGAGGCAGGCAAAATCACGCTACAGTTACAGGTAGCGCAGCACTAACAAAGTATTTGCTGAACACAAAACCAGCAACGCTTGAGACAAAGTCTGTCTTTATTATGCCATTATGTTTTGGCACATAGGCTTAACAAACGCTACACAAACACTGTCAAAATTCAAACTTAAAATCCACCAATAAGGATGTTGAATAAAATCTGATGATATGTGTGAACCAATCACATGTCATACTAAGGGAGAGGCCATAAAGCAAACTTATGGCCACTTTTCAAAAGTGACAGTAAATTTATACATTCATAATATTACAAAAGATTTCTATTTCAAACAAATGCTGTTCTTTTGAACATTCTATTCATCCAAGAATCCTGAAAAAAAAAAATTATTAGAAAATTAAATCCATCTTTTTTGTTTGTTGAAAATGCAGCTTTTCCATCACAGGGATTATGTTTCAAAATATATTGCACTTTTAAATTGTAATAAAATTTACTGATCAAATAAACCCAGAAACACAGTCTTGGTTGAACATAGATTTCTTTAAAAAAAACAATCTGTAAAAATCTTACCAAACCCAAACCTTTGAACGGTAGAGTGCATGTACATACATATCTACAGACATATAAATATACACATGCATGTACATATTGTTTACAAAGAGTATAACATTTATTAGCTTAAAAAAATTACAACAATTATTATAGTTTACAGTAGTAACTATAAATTATTTTAAGTGTTGAGGAGACAAGAAGACTCATATAATAGATGCAATTGTCTGCAAAGCAGATATTAAAATGTTGCACAAGCAAAATGCCTGAATGTCTTCTAAGGGAACTCTCAGAATACTATCTTACAGACAAAAATCCATCCATCAAGACTGTTCAAAGATGTTTTCCATAGTAACAGACATAATTGGAGTTATTTGAAAATAACAGCTGTGATACCTCTGCATGTCCAGTTGCCATAGCAATAACATAGTCATTAATAGTCTGCTTTTTACGTCCAAGATGACTATTTTAGACCAGGGTGGCATGTGATTTGTACAGAAACACATCTGTTTGTTAGATGCTTTTATGTGTAATTGATTCATTTGCCCTCTGTGATGTGGATATTATGTGTGTATAAAGGTGCTAAATGAGGTGGTGGTGGACAGAGGGCCTTCATCCTACCTGTCTAACGTTGATCTTTACCTGGATGGACGCCTCATCACATCTGTACTGGGAGACGGTGAGCACACTCATACACTTCAGCTGCAAACAGTATTGATGGATCATTTTTTATCTTGTCACCATTGTGCTCACAAACAATCCACTTAATATGGGATAATTAGGGGTCTGGTTAATGTTTTTTCCCCCAAAAATAATTTATACTTTTAATCATCAGTAAGGAACGCTTTAAATTGATGAAAAGTGACAATGAAAACATTTATAATGTTTAAAAAAAATTCTATTTGACATATATGCCAATTCACACCGCACAGACAAACAACAACAAACACGTTTGTTGGGTTTTGTCTGATCAGTGTGTTACCCCTTTCACCCGAGTGAACATGTTCAGTCAGCATTTGTTGGTGTCTGTTGGGTCAGTGTGAACATGACATTTTCATAACTTGTTTGTTGGTGTTTGTCTGTGCAGTGTGAATTGGCTTATAAATGCTGTTCTTTTTAACTTTCTATTCATCACAGAATCCTGACAAAAAGTATGATGGTTTCCACAGAAATATTAAGTAGCACAATTGTTTTCAACATTGATGATAGTATTAAGAAATGTTTCTTGAGCATCAAATCAGCATATTAGAATGATTATTGAAAGGATCACTTGACACTGAAGTGTAATGGCTGGTAAAAATTCAGTTTGCTGTTATAGGAATAAATGACAAGATTTCACAGTATTACTGTTTTTACTGTATTTACAGTATATCAAATTAATTCAGCCTTTGTTGAGCATAAGAGACATCAAAAGCATTAAAACATCTTACCGACAACAGACTTTTTAATGGCATTGTAGCTTTGTTTGGTTTTTAGACATGCTTCGTTATCTTTCTTTTAGTTCAAGCAGATGCCTCAGTACGTTATGGTCTGTTCATTTGCTTTGACGAGAGTTCAGCTGCCATGAAAATAAATGCAAATATATGGTGTGTTTCTCTGCAGGTGTAATAGTTTCCACCCCCACAGGCAGCACGGCCTATGCTGCCGCAGCGGGAGCCTCCATGATCCATCCCAACGTCCCTGCCATCATGGTCACCCCCATCTGCCCTCACTCCCTCTCTTTTAGACCCATCGTGGTGCCCGCAGGTGTGGAGCTCATGGTGAGAATAGGATTGAGGTTTCTCCATTTCACTGATGAAACTTAATCTGCCAAATATGGTTTTATTTATTTATTTCTCTCAAATGAGAGCTTCAGAAAAACATTTGTTTGCGTCATCTTACCGCTAACCGTGTTTACCCTGTAGATAACTCTGTCACCTGATGCTCGCAACACAGCCTGGGTTTCGTTTGATGGCAGAAAGAGGCAGGAAATCCAGCATGGGGACAGGTGACACTTTTTTAAAAATTTTTACACAATCCCATAAGCAAACAGCTTTGACCTCTCCCATAATACAACAACAGCTGCATTACAGTTATGGAAATGAGCATCAACGTTTCAGTTCAAATTCAGTTTGCGCTTTTATCTCAAGCAACACTCTCAACTGCACATGTCGTATCTGTTAATCATGAAATGAGTTTGTTTGTTTGTTTCCATTATAGCATTAAGATCACAACCTCTTGCTTTCCGGTCCCTTCTATCTGTTGTCATGATCTGGTGTACGACTGGTTTGACAGTCTGGCTCAGTGTCTCCACTGGAACATCCGCAAGAAGCAAACACGTCTAACAGATGCCAGCGACTCTTCAGAAACGGAGAACTGAAACATTACCACAACACTCACACAAGCGCTCTCACTGTCTTTACATTCCAAAACCTTTCAGATTTCCATCCTGACTCACTGAAAAGGTTAGTTCAAAATTGTTATTTTTACATTACATTGCACATTTCTGTTCAAAGGTTTACAGGTTTCGTTATAGACTGCAGTAAGTGCGTATGTGCTACTTGAGAATTAACACATTTAGTGTTGGAGGTTAGCGGCAACAAAAAGTTTGGTTGACCTAAAATGTCATTGTGACTGCTAAACATCATGATGCAGACAGTATTTCTTAGAGGAGTGTTTTTGCAGCTGACCACTTCACAATATGCTAAATAACTGATTTGATTTATTATAGATTTATTTATTTTTTTTAAAGCACCATTTATTAAGATTTATTAATAGAACCATTAACATTTCAATTTGTACTGTATATTATGTAGATTAATACACTTCTAAATAGTTTAGGATTACAAATCCTCCACCACGTTTAAACTTGAAATGTACATTATAGCAGGAAATATAATTCATTCACTGAGCATAAAACTTTAATTTTGATGCTTTTTTTAATCAATTATTATATATTTTTTTACAATGTAGCTTTTGGCTGAATTTACCACAAACTTTCCTCCTCTACAAACAGACAAAGCTTGACTTTCTATGTGGTTTGTCATGAAGGTAGTTTCTCATTTGTAATAAACTGTATTGGAAGCCAGTTTATTGGCAGTCAGTTTTGTGTGCTCTGCTAGACACCATTGTACATTCAACTACTTAGATTGAATGAGGTTTATTAAACTTTTTTTCTGTAGCTCGCTCAAGCTGTTGTTTAATTTTCATTCAAACTGATTAACCTGTGCAGAGCCTTTCTGAACATGAATCAAATAACTAATGCTTTTGTCTAGTTGGTCGCCTGTCAAAGCCAACTAGTTCTTGTGAAAGAACATTGTAGCCTCCCTGTGGCAGCATAGGATTTTGCATTTTCAAAACCACATTTCTAAAGCCATTGTCCTTTTAGTTTAATATTTAATAGACTCTAAGCTGTGATCTATTCATTTACAGATGCACTGTATGATTTGCTTTTCTCATGAAGTTATTACTGGCACTGCGAGGTCATATGTCCTTGCATAAGAACTAGTATAGCTGAATGTATGTAAGCTGTTTACAGTTTGATGTAAATAAGATCCTATGACGTGTTTGTCTCATTTGTAATATTTCAATAAAAATCTTTTTATCTTGGATGTTCTTTTGTTTTTGTCATTTGAAATGTAGTTTAAGGCTTTATATCCTGTTATATTTAAGGTGACATTCTGTAATGTTTGTAGTACAATGGAATATAAATTGTATTATATTAAAAAACCGAATTAAATATATTTGCTTGTGTGAAATATTTTATAAAAAAAACTGAAAGCACCAATTTTGTGATGTTTTTCAACAAAACAATGCGAAATGCTTGTTCTATATTTTTATTGCAATAAAAGGATACAGATATAATTTGACAGACACTTATTCTCCAGCTATTGCAAAAAGACAGTCCTCAACATTGATCCAAATACGGACAGTTAGCTGTAGATGCTGACCATATAAAAAAAAAAGATAATGGGATCTCAGTTTGTTTTTAGAAATGATGTCACTACATTTTATGACAGACAGCCAAAGGCAAATCAAATTTCCTGCCAATTAAAAAAAACAAAAACTGGCATATCAGCATCTTTATCTCTCATAAAGACAATGGGACAGAAAACAAAGGTGAGCGAAGTTCAATAGAAAGAAAATACAAATGTCTTTAGTTACACGTGGTGTCATGCCCAGTCTATCCAGGTCTTCAAAGTCAATGACAAAGAATATTGAAGACATACACAGCATTTCTACAAGAACACTAAGTGTGACCAGCAAGATCATCTACTTACAGACATGGTTAAAGATTCATAGCATTTTAAGAAGTGAGACGTTCACTTGGGCACGAGGGGTTTCCCTGCTCCTTGAGATAACCATGAATTGTGAGGGATGCGTTAACAAGGTTTATCAGTTTTTTAATAGAGAAAAACACCTTTGCGACCTCTTGTGTGCGTTTGATACCCACTAGAAATCAAAGCACTGCAGATGAACAGAATTCAGATGTTTTCTGCATTCTAACTCCAATAAATTGTCCAGAAACAATCTTTCCAACATCATCAGCACTGAAAACATTTATTGGTGGCTTTAGTAATTGTACAAAATGCAGTCAAATGAAAAACCTGCATGTCTGACATTATAAAATTGAGTACAGTTTATGCTGAACCTTAACTGCTGGCATGAACATCTCTGGTAGATTTATAGAATCCATATATAAATGATACATTTGTATTTCATCTCTTAAATAGTATCCTCAGTATGAGTCAAAGAAACTGCTAATGTAAAATAATCCTCTAGCCAAAAGTATGCAACCCCACGGAAGGATAGTATTGGACCTCGGCCCTATTAAAACACAAACTAACTACTAACAGGCTATTTTGGACCACAGCCCCTCGGGGAAGTACGATTTTGTCAACCTCAGAGTTTGAACAACAGATAGGATAACCAGAACCAGAAGCTATGATGCATGGATGTGAGCATGACATGTTTAAAATCTATTTAACTGGAAGTTGGTCATAAACTGAATGCATATGAAAAAAGCATCAATATCCCACATCATTTGGCACAAATGTGGATGTAGTTTCCACTTCTGAATGCAGTCGACCTCATGAGACTCAAATGGGAGTTTGGTTTTAAATAACTGCCTACCTCAATCAAAGATGCCGTTCTGATGGATGTAGTTTCCACTTCTGAATGCAGTCGACCTCATGAGACTCAAATGGAGTTTGGTTTTAAATAACTGCCTACCTCAATCAAAGATGCCGTTCTGATTTATTAACTTCTCTGTTTGTGTTAACAAGGTCTATTTCTCATCAGGGTCACAAAACGTGAGGCAGATCGTGTCACAAGTGCACAAAAACACAGCTCTCGTCTCTAAGCAAGCAAGATATCCCAGAGTTCAACACAGAAATGTCACAGGTCAAGTGCCATTGGGATTTATGATAGATAGTAACACTTATTAGGTATCTAAGACAAAATATCTTGGTCCGTCCAAATTATCCAATGTATCTAATGGTACAAAAGAAACTAAATGAAAAAAGCTTTCAGATTTGAATTTTTTCTCACTAGATTGGAAAGCGAACCTGTGGGTTAAAAACCATTGAGAAAGTTCACCAGTCCAGTCCTTCTTAACATTACCAACATGTTTATACAACACAATCCTTTACATTAGATAGTTAACATAAACGAAAAAGAAAAATGAAGTAAACCAGAGAAACATGGGGTCAGGGAGACTTGTTGCATCCATAGTGGGGGGAGCATTATTAGGGAAACCAAACAGCCTTTGCAAATATTTTAATTGTCATCGTAGCCGTTTCCTGCTCTCGTTTAACCTTTAAGCCTGTCTGTTTTCAGAGGAAGATCTCAGCCTGAACAGAAATGGGAAACATCTTCTGAACATGACAGAAGTACGTCAGCAGGTCCACATGGAGCATGGGAGTATGTGTGCGGCGTGAGGAAAACGTTTATGTCTGAACAGTCAAGGGCTTTGTCTCACTTGGCTCTTCCTCATCATCATCATCATCATCATCATCATCATCATCATCATCATCATCATCATCATCATCATCATCATCATCATCATCATCATCATCATCATCATCATCATCATCATCATCATCATCATCATCATCATCATCATCATCTTCCTCCTCCTCCTCCTCTGTATGCTGCTCCAGCTCTTCTCTGGTGATCATTTCAAAGTCGTTGCCGTTGCTGTGCTGCGACCCTTCATCCTCTCGTCTGTCACTGTCCGTGTCCGACTGACGTTCTGCGCCTGCTTCCTCGCTCGCCTCGATTTCTTTATTGTCGTCTTCATCCTCTTCCTCATCGCCGTCTTTCTTCTCGCTGTCCGATTTGTCCTCGCTATCTGATTTCTGCGCTTTGCTTGAATCTGCACCCTTGTTGTCAGATTTCTCGCTGCTGGATTTCTTGGAGCTGGAGCGCGGACCCTTGTATTCGTGCGTGTAGAGGGGACGGAAGGAGTCGATAAAGCCCACATCGGCTGTCAAGTTCGGTAGGAACCAGAAGTGATGACGGCCACCGGTCACTAACCAGATGATCATGAACAGGATGCAGCGAGCTGAACCAAAGGGAAAATGAGAAAAGACAGATAATGCAGTGTCATTGAACTGTAATATGAAATTGTACAACACAAGATATAAGTCTAGAACTCGTACCAACGGCCAGGAGAAGTATGCCTGCGACGAAGCATCCCGCTGCCACGCTCAGGTAATACACACCAACTCTCATCTCAGCGGGCCACAGCGGGAACAGAGTGGCTGCGATGACGGCAATCACTGCAAACACGCACAAAGCTCTGAATCAGTACTGGAGCCAGTGAACGACAGTCAGGCTCAACTGGAGATAAAGAGATCCTACCTAGAATCAAGCCCATGGCAAAGGTTTTGAAATGGACTGGATCGTAAATCCAAAAATAAACCTGTCGGGAAGACAAATATAGCTTTTTAAGTACTACAACAAAATTACAAAAATAATAAAATACACGTGAAAGTGAAGAATTCACAACAAGAATTTTATTATTAATCAGCACGCATTATATAATTATTATATCATATAATAATATTATATAATATAATGATAATAATATATATTCAGGTTGGCTGGGTTCCAAAACATCAGTGTAAATAATAAATTATCTATTTTTTTTAAATAACAACAGTAAAAATAATAATAATAAGATCAAGAAGAAAATACATATATAAATGACATAAAATGATGATTGTTATTATTATTAAATATTAAGGCATTAAAATAAAATTGTTACCAGTGTTGATTTTGTTAACTGAAGCTAAAACTATTACTAAAAAAACCTTACACAAAAATGAGAAATGTTGACTTGGCAACTAACTGAAATAAGTTAAATAAAACTGAAATACAAATACATTTAAATGCTTATAACATTTACAGAAGAACATAAAAAATGACTAAAAGTAAAATTAAAATGAAACTGAAATATAGAAATAAAAGCTAATTCAAAATATGAATAAATATTATAATAGTATATAAATAATACCAAAACAACACTATGCTACCCCTGTGCAGTGTGGTTTGCAAAATCAAAAATATTGTTAATCCTACATTTGATTATTTGATTCCATGTTCAATGTGAAGAAATACTACTAGATAAAGTGCATGTGTATTACACTGTACACCATATAAAGCAGACAATTAAACTGTTCATTGCAAATACTTGTGTGACTAATTGTCAAGCAAACCGTATGATATTTACAAGCATCTGTTAGGTATGATTTTCTGAACTGATCCTGACCTCATTGCCATCCAAGAACAGTTGGTCCTCATGAGGTTCCAGCTTGAATTTCTTTTTCACGTCCTTCTTCTTCTTTGGAGATCCTGGACTGTCATCCTAAACATACAGAAACAAGACTTAAAAATAAGAATCATGATATGCAAATATGCAAAAAGACCTCAAATGTAACAGAAATTCTTTGCGTTTTCTTATCCTGTAAATGTGTCATACATTTTTTTCCTTCTTTGTGTCTACAGCCTCAGAGTCCTTCTTTTTATCTTTGTCCTTTTTGCTTTTTTTCTCCTCTTCTTTGCCACTGTCACTTTTAGCCTTATCTTTTTCTTTCTCTTTCTCTTTTTCTTTCTCTTTCTTTGCATCTTTCTCTGGCTTCTTCTTCATCACTTTCAGGGCTCGGTGGAAAAACTGCTTCTTTAGGAGCCTGTGAATAGTAAGACAGTTCAAATTAGTAGTTGACTGACATATACATTACCATTCAAAAGTCTGCGGTTTACTTTTACTCAGCAAGGGCACATTGATTAACCAAAATACATTTATAATATTACAAAATATTTCAAATAAATGCTGTTCTTTTGGAATTTTCTATTCATAAAAAAAATCCTCAAAAGAACATCCCACACTATTTTCAACACTGATAATAAGAAATGTTTCTTAAGCACCATATCAGCATATTAATGATTTCTGAAGGATTGTGTGTGACACTGAAGACTGAAGTAATGGCTCCTTAAAATTCAGCTTTGCAATCACAGGAATAAATTACACTTTAAAATATACAAAAATTTTAAATTGTAACTAGATTAAAAAGTTTGTAGACACACTTTAGGTTGGCTTGAAAAAGCTTAGCTAGAAAGTTTGAAAAAGTTTTTCAGTCAAAGTTTTCAGTTTGAAGTAGTTTGAAAGTTAAAATAGTTTTAAAGATTAAAGTTTGAATGTTTTCAAGGCAATACAGTCTATTAGAAAAACAGATAGGTATAAAGCATATTGCTAGGGTACCTGGGGTGGTTGCTAGACTGTTTCTAGCATGACTAGCATGACTAGCATGTTGCTAACATGTTTTTAGCATGATTAACATGTTACTAGCATGTTGCTAGCACAATTAGCATTTTACTAACATGTTGCTAACGTGTTTCCAGCATGATTAGCATGTCGTTAACATGTTGCTGGCATTATTAGCAAGCAACTAGCATGTTGCTAGCATGATTAGCAAGTAACCAGCATTTCGCTATCATGTTGTTAGCATGATTAGCAAGTGACTAGCATGTTGCTAACATGATTAAGTAACTAACTAGCATGATTACCATGTTGTTAGCACAATTAACATGTTACTAGCATGTTGCTAGCGTGTTTCCAGCGTGATTAGCTTTTTTTGTTAGCATGTTGCTGGCATTATTAGCAAGTAACTAGCATGTCGATGGCATTATTAGCAAGTAACTAGCATGTCGTTAGCATGATTAGCAAATGACTAGCATGTCGCTATCATGTTGCTAGCATGATTAGCAAGTGACTAGCATGACTAGTAAGTGATTAGCAAAGTTACTAGCATGTTGTTAGCATTTTGGTAGCATGATTAGCAAGTGACTAGCATTTCACTAGCATGTTTTTAACATGATTAACATGTTTGCTAGCATAATTAACAAGTGACTAGCATGTTGCTAGCATGACTAACAAGTGACTAGCCTGTCAGTAGCATGATTAGCAAGTTACTTTCATGTCGCTAGCATGTTTCCAGCATGATTAGGAAGTGACTAGTGTGTTGTTAACATGACTAGCAAGACACTAGCATGATTAGCAAGTGACTAGCATGCCATTAGCATGATTAGCAAGTGACTAACATGCCATTAGCATGATTAGCAAGTGACTAACATGTCGCTAGCATGTTTCCAGCATGATTAGCAAGTGACTAGCATGTTGCTAGCATGATTAGCAAGTTACTAGCATGTTGCTAGCCTGATTAGCAAGTTACTAACATGTTGCTAGCCTGATTAGCAAGTTACTAACATGTTGCTAGCATGATTAACAAGTTACTAGCATGTTGCTAGCATGATTAGCAAGTTACTAACATGTTGCTAGCATGATTAACAAGTTACTAACATGTTGCTAGCATGATTAGCAAGTTACTAACATGTTGCTAGCATGATTAACAAGTTACTAACATGTTGCTAGCATGATTAGCAAGTTACTAACATGTTGCTAGCATGATTAACAAGTTACTAACATGTCGCTAGCATTTTTCTAGCCTGATTAGCAAGTTACTAGCATGTTGCCAGCATGTTTCTATGCTAATCCAGTTAAAACCAGCAAAAACCAGTTGATTCAGTAAAAAAACAGCTAAAACCAGCTTAGGCTGGTTGCCTAGTCTTAGCTAGTTTAAATTGAAAATATCTGGGTTAAGCTTGGTTGGTCTTTTAGCAGGTCTCACAGCTTCACCAGCTAAGACCAGCCTGTCCAGCTAAAAAGTTGCCAAAACCACTTTAAAATGTAGCCAATCAGCTTAGGCTGGTTTTAGCTGTTTTTTTCAGTAAGGAGTTTTTAAGCTTTGCTATAACAGTAGACAGCTTAAATACACCACAAGTCTCATTGTATAAAATTTATGCAATGAAAGTCTATGAGATTTTAGGTGGATTTGATAGTCTGGTTTATGAAAACCGTAAGCCATAAAGATATAGCAACCCGAGTCAGACCAGTCTGAAGGTCTGACCCCAGTTTGGTGGTTGTAGCTTTAAAAGTCTAGGAGGAGATACATTTTAAAATTTGGTCTCAGAAGAAGTAGTAGTTTAAATAGGATTTCAGTATGTTGGCTTTTTCAAGCCAACTTAATATTTCACAACACAAGTGTTTTTACTGGTGACAATAAGAGACTTTTTCAAAAGCTCTGTAGTATCAAATACCGCAGAAAGTCCCATCAGTATCGTGAAATGAGAGAAAAGCCTAGGTTTACCTGTTGCAGTAGTCCACCACCGACTCTCTGGTTGTGAACAAAGCTTCCTCGCCCTTCTTTGCTTTGGCCCACTTTGAATCCAGCAGACATTCGACTGCTTTAGAAGCTGATGGTCAGAAAACAAACATTTGCTTCAATGACAGCAAACAGAGAATTTTGAAAACTAAACAAATAATTAAACGAAACCTTGATATATATAAACCCTACGCAGAGGAAACAGAAGAAAGCATGGCAGGAATGAGCGCACTGACCGACAAAGTAATCCACTCGATGTCCCATCATGTTGGTGGATTTGTTGGGGCAGTTAAAGCGCAGGTACTTGGCCACTGCCTTCTCATCCTTGGTAGGTTCACTGACCTCCTGAAAAAGAGAGATCAAAGATCATGAAGTCATGATGATTACACTTATCTGCTGAATATCAAAACAAAATTCCAGGTTAATCTGCATTTAGATCACATTAAATATACAGTTATTATGCAGCAGAAATGCACACGGTAGATATAGATTCATTACAATATGTGACCCTGAACCACAAAACCAGTCATAAGGGTCAATTTATCGAAATTGAGATTTATACATCATCTGAAAGCTGAATAAATAAGTTTTCTATTGATGTATGGTTTGTTAGGATAGGACAATATTTGGCCGAGAGGCTTCTTTCAAAAACATTTACTAAATCTTACCGAACCCAAACTTTTGAGAGTTTTTTTTTAGCATCATTACTTTAAACAAAATAGTATAGATAATATCATAAATAACATGAAAATAATAACCATCTTTCAATAATCAGAGTTTAATATGCATCCCTATTATGTAGAGCAGTGGTCGCCAACCTGTCGATATCACTGTCCCAGTAGATCCCGAAAATAACAGTAAAATAAGTACAAAAATGCATTACATTTCTGGGGTTAAATTAATGTATAACTGAAGGGAACTGTCTTGAGAAAAGTTTAGATGGCAATGGCATTTTCTTCTCCTCCGTATAAAGCGCAGCTCTGCTTTGTTTACAGCGGTAAACAAGGAAATGCTATATTGCGGGCGGTTCATAAGCAGTGTTGCCAAGTCTGCGGTTTTCCTGCGGAATTGGGATACTTTAAAGGGGTCATATGATGCTGCTAAAAATAACATTATTTGGTGTATTTGATGTAATGAAATGTGTTTATGCGGTTTAAAGTAAAAAAACAACACATTATTTTCCACATACTGTACATTATTGTTTCTTCTCTATGCCCCGCCTTTTTGAAACGCGTACAATTTTTACAAAGCTCAACGTTCTGAAAAGCAAGGTGTGCTGTGATTGGCCAGCTATCCAGTGCATTGTGATTGGGCGAATACCTCAAGCGTGTGACGGAAATGTTACTCCCCTCACCATATTGTTGATGCCGTGTCCGGCCGGAGCAACAAGACAAAAACATTAAAACCCATTACAAACTAGACATTTGTTGCATCCAGTGGGGACATAATTACTGATTATAATGACATCAGTTGCAAATCCTTTAAATGAAAACGTACGTACAGACTTACAAACTGCCGGCATTGTAGTCTACTCTCCCAGGATCAGTAAACAGTCCTCCATAAAATGTGCTGCACACATCTGGATATTTGGGTTAATCTGTTCTGGAACAGTGTTGTAAATACAACTTAACCACTGATTTGTAGTCATGTCCTCTTTTGGAAGACCAAACAAAGTAATTTCGCTTTCACAACGGAAAACCCGGCGGCCTAGCGTGAGCGGAAGGCCGGGCTAGAGTAAGCAGAGAACGGAGCGGCCGGCGGATTCGACGAAGGTGCGGCAACCACATGTGACGACCCCAGGCTGGACTCCACTTCGTCCACGGTGAAAGCCGATCCGGCGATCCACAGCACTAAGTTGATGTATTCCTTCAGCGACCAGCACAGATCCACTCTAGGCATGACGAAGTGGATATCGTCCTCTTTTGGAAGACCAAACAAAGTAGTTTCACTTTCACTACGAAACACACAGAGTGTTCACGACATGGCGGCAGTGGCAACAATACTACAGCGAGAATAAAAGTTACGCCTTCTTTCTTTGCGTGAACATTTGGGCGGTGTTATGCAAATCTTCCCACATAGTGACGTAGACATGTGGGGGCGTGTTAGAACGAGCCGTTTAAGGTAGGCGTGGCTGACTCTTAACTTTTATAAAGAATATCTCTTTGGATTTGAGACTTTAGTCTTTGCAACTTTACAGATCTTCTTTATGCACCAAGAGCTTGTAACACTCCAAAGAGGAAGGAAAAATTGAAAATCGCATCATATGACCCCTTTAACACTGTTGCCGCGGGTTGCTGTTCATGTCCGCAGGTTGAAGCGACCCCAATAACGTGATATTTAGCCCATGGAACGTGAATTTTACTGGAAGATCCCCGCCGTTTTATTGCAAAAACCTGGCAGCCCTGTTCATTAGTGCCACCTGCTGTCAGAGAGTGAGTCTCATTCAGACCTGCTGTTGTTTCGTGCACCTAAAGTCAGACCATTCCGTTTTTGTTTTAAATCCTGAAATGAATCTAAATCAAATCAAATACAACTGCCCGTGCAGATCATGACTAAAATGCAGTGGTTGCCTCTAATTTCAAATGGCTAGATATTTTTGTTTAAAGCCAGTTTTTTTGTTATAAAGCAAATAGCCAATAAATAAATTTGCTTAAAAATCAGTATCAGTATCAGAATCCAATTTGCTAGTTTAAAAAAAAAGAAAAAGAAAAGAAAATCTGAATTCTGAATCAGCTATGACTAATTAAAGCATCACTAATTAAAATACTAAGTAAAAGGTCTCAAATTTGAAGCACAATCTAGGATGTCTTTTTCTATCAATTCTTCAATAGGTAGATCTTGTCCTTCATAAAGGCCGAGGTCAGGGATCTTGGGCCTAAAAAGGTTGGTGACCACTGATGTAGATCATGATTCTGGACCAGTGAGACGTCACCATGGGAGAGGACCAAGATATTAAAAGTATAAACCATGATTAATAGATACAACAGAAACCAAGAGTCTGAATGTCAAAAAGCTGGTTTGTCCCTTTGACTACAAGCCATTAATTCCAGTGAAAAATGACATTCAAGAGAATGTAGAATAACAGCAGTGCTCTGAAAAGCTTTGAAATTAATCTCCCACACTGGCTGCAGGACCCTCGTCAGTCATCTAATGAACGTGAACTAATTAAAAGCCTCAACTCACCACACACTGATGTACTGTGCTGTGTAATATATACACTGAAATGACAGTCTCCATTCAAACTCGCTGCAGACACACGAGTCCTCACTGACCCCATTTATTAAGCTAAAGATCCTTACTAGTACTATGTGACCACACTATACACACAAAAAACCCTCACAAATCCAGACAATAAGCCAGGCTATAGCACCATTTACTGAAATAATGAATGACTACCAGACATAACTCCACTCTTAAGCCTGAGGTCTTAGTATGAGAGTGTTTTTGAGCTCCACAATCCTTCAGTCATACTCTGTTTGGTCAGAACATCTCCTGCATGACTTAGAGAAACATATTCAATGAAGACCATATAGGTGGTAAACTGCTGGAAGGGATAGTTGTGGTTCCAAATGACCTTCATTGTATGGAGAAAAAAAAAAAAGAGACATCCAAAATGAGGATGAGTAAATGATGACAGACTTTAACATTTGATTAACACTTGGTCTAAATGGCACCTTTACAGAGAAAAACAATCAGAGGTACTTTATTTGATTTCGTTTGGAGACCTTTAAAGTCTAAAGGTTTGTTTTAGGTTTCCTAATGATTGTTGATAGGTAAAAATAATGCAGTATTTCTCATCCATAACTTGAACGCATCTTTTCAATTTACTTGGTTTATACGGTGGGTATGTGTTTATTCACAGCAAGAAAACAGATCAGCAATGACAGTGGATTTCAACCTGTTGCATAAGAGCAAAAACTAACAAACAGGCTGGCAGGATCATAAAGAGTGACTCTCTCATCAAGACAACACGTCCTTACTCTACTGTTCTTACATAACACGACATTTATAACAGGAACGCACAATAACTGTGTTCCAAAACCAAACAAGCAGCTACGCCAGACAACATTTTTGGGGATGACAAATGCATTCTGACTACAATGGCCAAAAATGCAAAGTAGCACACTAGCATCTGCATTTGACTGACATATTTAGAACGATACATGTTTTAATGATGGAGAATGGCTTTTAAAGGAAATCCTGTCAGCATTTACTCAATTGTTCGAAACCTGTATGCGTTTTCTCATGAAAAATTGAATATAAGATGTTATGGACTGACAGTAACGGTTAACTTTTAATGCATAATTTTTTCATAGTTAAAATAAATGGTTACTAAAGGATTCTGCCTACCAAGCATTGTATTTTTTACGCAAAAAGAACGTCAAATGAGACTGAAAAAACATGAATGTGAGTAAATAAAAATTTGTATTTGTGTGTGAAATGCCCCTTTAATTAGTCTGCAACTGGGTACAAATTTGGGGATGAGAAGTGCTGCATTTTGGACGTTTTTTGCTCAAATTCGTGGAGCATGTGAGCCAGCAGCTGGTTAAAGAGAACAGCCTGCAAACCGAACAGTCTGTGCCGAGCTAAGATGGCCAACTCCATCAGCTGTGCCACTAAACACATACTCTTCACAGGGGAGAGACACCACAATCAGGTCATGCTCACATCAAATCCATCGAGCAACTGCATGAATGATTAGATGCCTGCAAAAAGATCAAATGCATGACCCAAGCGAAGCGCAAAAATTGCGCCAGCACTGACAAATAATCCACCTCCCATAAATGAGAGCATTGCAAAAAAAATACGGATCAGAGTATAATTGTATCACGGGTCGAACAAAACACAAACGTTAACTCGAGAAATTACTTAATGCCAAACAGCGATCTAAGACTGGGCCTCTAATAGCAAACGTTACATGAGTTATGTACCTGAATTCGCTTCTTGTGTCTCCTGCGCTCCGCCATGATTTCTAACTTCTGGGTTCCCTTGACGTGGTCACGAACAGAGTGGGGAGGGAAGTCTCGCGATATTTCGAATTGCCCGTGATCAGTCTTCTTCTTGTACGATTTAATGGCGGTTGACAAGCCAACTTATGGTGTATTACGGCCACCAACTGGACTGGAGTGTGAAGCATTAACGGGAAAGAGGGACGACAAAAACAAACAAAAAATCCATAAATAAACCAAGTAGTATTATTATGAAATTTAAATTCTACTTTCTAATCCTGTTATCTTCAGGTAACTAAGAATTTCTCTCATAATACTTGTCTGTCCTGAGGCACAACTTAAAAGATTTGATATAGTGATATTAATTACTCCTATGTTTCTCAGTTTCTTAAATAACTCCTCTCTTTCTTTGGTATATACTGCACAATGTAGAAGTGCATGCGCAATAGTCTCTGCTTCACTGCATGTAGTACATAATCCTGACTGATGTTTCCCTATTGTGAATAATGATTTAAACCAGAATGTCCTATTCGAAGTCGAGTAATTATTATGTCTTCTTTTCTATTGTTAAACCATACTCTCCCTTTGCCAACTTGTTTTTGGATATTGTATTGATGTCTGCCCTTTAAATCCTTGTCCCACATTTCCTGCCACTTTTTATTCATGTGTTCTTTAATTCTTCCTTTTATTTCTACTTTACTCAGTGGAATTTGTACCTCAACGTTCATATGTTTCATTGCTTGTTTGGCCAGTTTATCGGCTATTTCATTTCCTAGTACTCCTACATGTGCAGGTACCCATAGGAACCTCAGGACTATACCAATTTCCTGAATCCTACCCGTGATCAGTTACTTCTTCACTTGGCAAATTAAAATCTGAATGAATGAATGAATACTACCATCTGAAGTGCAGGTGAGGTCAAAAATAGAAGATTTTTGTAGTGAGAATTATTAGATAAAATATTAGCTATCATAAATTTAACATCAACCTAAAACATCCTTTAATGTTCAATAAAAGTTCGACACCTAAGAAGTAACATTTGAACCAAGGTTATTATGAAACCAGGAATAAAATAAATGATCATAAAAACATTTTATTAAGACAATGAAAACCATAAAAAACAATAAAAATAAAACAATAAAAGCCATTTTCTTCAGTTTATTGTTGTGACTGCATTGATTAACCATTCAAAGTGATTGTAAGAATAAAATAATCAAATATATTTTAATATGGGATTTTTTATAACTACAAAACATCATTTGATAGCTGTCTCCTTCAAGTAATAGCTTAATTTAGGCTAAATGTAATTTTATATTTATTGCTAGAAAAAAAACAACAACACACAAATAAGGGATTTAAATTATGTATTTCTTTTTTTTTTTAAAGAAAAGAATGCTGTATATTCTGTTTTGTGTGTGTGTGTGTGTGTGTGTGTGTGAATGCTGTATATGAATATTTTTATCATATCAAATGAATCAAATAAAGACCAAATGAATCATTCTTTTTATTTTCTCCATAGCAAACAGTATATGACAACAGAGAATAATTTAAGTTTGAAGTAAAAACCAAAATACAATTGTACAATGAAAAAGGCTGTAATGATAAAGACAAAAAGATTTGTGAATGATTTACTGACTTATTACAAAATATATATATACATAGAAATATCCAGCATTCGACAGTCTACTAGTCTGCTGGAAACCACATTCTGAACCTACTGCATAACACGGATCATAATATATTTGTGATGAGTATTTAAAAATATAGAATCAGTAAGTTCACTACAAAAATGTCAGTGCCTGTCTACTTTATGCATTCAGTGTCAAAACAGTAAAGGATTTTGAGGTAAAAAAGAAGTCCAACAGTTCTGCATTCTTTTTCAGGTGGTCTCACTCAGCTGGGTCGGTGAGGGATTATCAGCTTCACTTACAGGCTCCGTAGATTTAAGAGCTTCTGTGTCTCTTGGGCTGCTGAGCAGCTCCATACTGTTGCAGTTGAGGGGGGAGCTGATGTCTGATGATCTGTCCCCGCTTTTCTCAGGTGGAGGCTGCAGCCTGGAGACGGGGAGAGGCAAGTTCATCATGTTGTAGAACATGTTACCCAGCCGTCGGGACAACTGAAAAGAGAACAGAACAACCTAATGAGTTAGATGAGTTCATTCTTTAATAAACTTACATTTTTTGAAGCCCAAGGACCTCTTGGAGGGTAGAGCGAACCCTTAAAATAATCTATCATATATGTGTATTTTTCATTTTATATATACACAATATACATCATTTTATTTAATATTTTAATATTAATTTAATTTTAATGATGAACCTTCTTACTGAGATAGAATTTGGTCCTTTTGAAAGATGGCGAATACCTGTGATCGTATCTTGAGCGCAGGCCCGAGCTTTACCCCAAGTGTATCCAGGAGGTGGTCCTCTGTAAGAAGAGGTAACGTCTCTCCATCAATCATGTGGTCTTTGAATGTCTGCAATGGATGACACACAAAAGAATGAGACTTAAAGGTATATAATTGTAATTGCATTTTGTGATTTTACATTTTTATTACCTGTGCATATTCGGCGCAGCTTGGTATTTCACTGATAAAGTTGTAGACGTCATCAACTGACCACTTGCGAATATCTTCTAATGAAGACATTTCTTCTCCATTAAGAAACAAATTAGGATGTCCTAGTTGAAAATAAACCAAAAATTAATAGGTAACTCTGACTATAATGAAACATCATTTTAATATTTCTTAAAATATCGGTTGAAGTTGTAGACGTCATCAACTGACCACTTGCGAATATCTTCTAATGAAGACATTTCTTCTCCATTAAGAAACATATTAGGATGTCCTAGTTGAAAATAAACCAAAAATTAATAGGTAACTCTGACTATAATGAAACATCATTTTAATATTTCTTAAAATATCGGTTGACAACAAATGTCTAACAAATAGCTAAATACCAATGTTGTTATTGTTAACTAAAAGTAAAACTGTAAAAAAAAAAATAGTTTTCATTAATTCAAATAAAGCTGAAATAAAATATAAATATCAGATGAAAAACTTAAACTTAAAAAATGTCAACAAAAATCATATATTGCATTGGCAGCTAACTGAAACAAATAGTTTAATATTTTCAGTTTAAGTACTAAAATTACTCAAACAGAAATAAAAATAAATTAAAGCTACATAGAAACATAAAAACCTCAAATATGACAAAAGCACAAAACAACATTACTAAAACGTCAACTAAAATTAAAATGACAACATATTATAGAAAATATAATAAAGTCTAATTCAAAATGTTAATACATATTATAATAGTATATAAATATTAATACTAAAACAACACAGTTAAGCTCAACCACTGCATTTAAAAAAGGTAAACTAACAAACACACCAAGTGGTACAAGTCCATTTCCTGGCATGGGGAGCATGTAGGGTATCCCTGAGAGCGGGCCAGCAACAGATGGGTACAGAAACTTTTCTTGGAAAGCCAAGCAGTGGCTGGATATGTCTTTGTCACTAGTGCTAGCATTGCAGTTGGTGACTTCTGCACATCCCTCCTGTCCACTAATACATGCCTTGTGAACCCCTGGCTCTCCTTCCTTTAAACTTTTCCTACTACTGCCAGAAGACAGCTCTGTTTCTACTTTGGTTTGGTGTGGTTTGCTGGTGGTGGCCTCATTGCTCATTTCGCCTTTCGCTTCAACTTCCTTCTCCTCCCCCGAAGCAGCTCCTGGACTCTGCTCGACGTTCTTCTCTTCTGATTGGCCTTTGGGGAGAGTGAGGTTGCTGTCTGAGCTCTTATGATTGGCGGACCTTCTGCCGGTCCTGCGTCCTCGCTCCCTTTGCAATGTGTTGATCGGTGGGTAAGGGCTTGACATTAGGAGACTGTTAGCACGCAGGTCTTCAAGGGCAGTGCGATGGATGAATACATCATGACTATCTGAGAGCCGCTGGCGTCCCCTGAAAGCTGTTGGATTGGGTTGGATGCCTTGGTACATCATGGGATTCTCCATCCCAATAAGACCCTTTTGGTGGGAGTTCTCCAGTTCTTTTTGGTGCAGGATAGCATTCATCTCCATCCTCATTAAAGAAATAATTTACAATTAGTGCACGCCCACTTTTTCAGAGGTTGTAGTTCGGGAAGTATTTTTTTCCATTCATTTTTCTCTGGGATTTTAAAAATGTCTTTGTTAAAGCATTATAAGCCATAAACCAAGACTATGTACAAGTTACATTGGTACAAGGTACAAGATTGTATACTTTAGCGAAGAAAAGAAGTACAATCCCATGAAGCATTGTGAATGACATAAAATGAAGGAGAAATACAAATCTATTCATTTAGTTAGATATATAGACAGATAAACACTATTTTTAAAATTATTTTGAGAGTCCTTGCCTTCAGTGCTCTTTTGGCCCTATCTGCTCGCTACTACTCTCTGACTGGTGGAATTTTCTGTTTCGCGTTAAACGTGATTATTTTAAAAACAAGCTGAAATAATGCAAACAGATGTTTTCAACATAGGAATATACCATCAATTAACTGCCTCAGAGTTCACAACAGATCTGTCTTTCCTATGGACAAAATGAATGGAGTTTTTACTTCCAGAACTCGACTGTTGCACTCGGATTTTGGATTTGTATTGCATTCATCTGTATGACTTTACTCCCGTTTAACATAGTTATAGCAAATACACTGAAATGTACCTGGCTATGTTCTGTTTGTGAATTAACTCTTGCCGTCTAGCAACCGTCTCCATGGATTCAGTTGGAAGGAAGCCGTAACCTGCAAAATTGATTTTTTTTTTAAATTAGGTTCTTCTTTCTCTCTGAGCTTCCCCTGTACTTCTCTACATTTAACCAGCATATAATTTCAATCTAACCTGTGCCAGGGAATCCTCTGCCTGGAATAATATTGGAGTTTGGGGGCAGAGATGGGCTGAAATGGGCACCCATGTGGATTTGTCTAGCATCAGCTGATACCATTTCAGTGGGTGGCATAAGGTCCCTGCAGATA